GGATTCCAAACTGAAAAAAAAAGACTGAGAGATTTGAAGATAAAATGTGTGCTTTCCAAATGCTTTCTTTAACATGCTTAAAATTAATAATAATAGTGTAAAGTAAACTTAATGCTAATTTGAAATATCAATTTTAGTGTTTTCTTACATATTTTCTTCTTAAATGGATCAGTTTTTCATAGCATAGTTATATGTCTTGCTGAGTTGGGAAGATGTGCTTTACTTTATTTGTGATTAAATCTTTTGTTTTATACTCACACATGAAAAATATTTATGAGAAGAAAAAAAATAAATGCAAAATAACATTTCTATGAAAAGAAGCAATTTCACAAAGAAATATTAGATACATTATGCATAATCCTTAGTTATTGTGTTCAAAAAGAAAATAGCTTGCAATGATTGAAATAGAAAATGAAATACATAAATTTCCTTAATAGGTGAAAATATTGAGATTTTTTTTTAGTTTTGATTGCTAATAGTAGATATTCTGCTTGTCATAAATGGTTTGGCTGCTATTACATAATTATGTTTTAAAGTTTAAAAAATTCTAAAATACAGTAGATATTCTAAGCGATGCTTTCCCCTGAAAGAAAATATTTGGATGAAAAAAAAATATTTTAAAGCTCTTGAAACTTGCTTTCACAAGATGTTGATATCTCAAATATTTTGGACACATTTTGGTTCCCTTTAGTTACATCAAGTCGCATATCTGTATTATTTTTTATTATTATTATTATTTATAAAACCTTATGTTGATGATTAATTAATGATTGATTATCATTTAAACAGGTTTTGGTGACCTTGGCTTCAATTTGACTGCATATATTTGTGGAATAGGAAGTAACTTTATGCAAGCTTTGTATTTATTACTGGTCCAGAAGTACTCAGAACAACATTTATCTGTTACTGAAACTTTACAGTTAAATAGCTTCAATACCTTGCCATTGCTCTTGTTGGCTGCCCTTGTCAATGGAGAGCTGGTGGCCATCTTAGAATACCCTCATCTCACAGAGCCATTTTTCATCTTTATGTTTCTACTGTCCATCAGTGTGGGGATGCTACTGAACTACTCTTTGTTCCTTTGCACTAGTTTGACCAGTGCACTCACCACCAGTGTGGTGGGTGGCCTGAAAGCTTTGGCCCAGACATTGATTGGTCTGTTTACATTTGGTGGCGTGTCGCACAACCTGGCCACTTACATTGGAATAAGTATGAACTTAATTGGGGGCACTGCTTACATCTGGGCACGCTACGCTGAAAGTAAATCTCGACCCAGTCTCAAACAGGTTATTAGCCTGTCTCATCTGAACAGCAAAGATTCAACACACAGTGAATGTATGAATGGTACCCTTCATGATACCATTCTTTCGCCTAAAGCAAATCCGAATAGTCATATCAGTTGATATCAGCCATTTAGTATAGTTCTTTTTAGAAATGTTATGGATCATTCTTTTAACTGTTTTGTCTTTTTATGATTTGAAGGGTGTGAAAAATGAATTTTGTTTTATTATACATTTGTATTTACAGTTTTTTGGTTTCTGAAAATGTAAATACTTGGTACATTATGGTTTATGCAACATGTCAGCGGTATATAAATACATATGTGTAAAAAAGCTTGTTTGGATAAAAAACTAGTCTAAATTAATGTCTATTAGTAAATAATTCATACTTTGTAACCAAGTTAGATTATTGCTTAAAACAGCCCCCTGAAAAGCCCAGTATAAAATTTTTAGAACATACCACTTTCTGATGAGGTTAATCTGAAGGGTAAGTTTTTATTAAGGTTCCACTGTGTTAAGTTAAAATATTATTAAATTTAATTGCATGAAATCCAGTTGCATAAATTGTTATAATATTGTTGTATAATCTCAGCTATTGGATTTTTTATACACATATTACTTTTATATGAGTTCCACTTTGTACATTTTAACCTGTACTGCATATATATATTACTGTACACATAATGTGAACTTTGGTTTTGGTCTCCTGGTGCTCTAAATGTAATGGGTGGGACCAAGGACTTTTACTTGCCATAACATATTACTTTGGAATAATGTGCCAATAAACTGCTGCTTGTACCTTACAAATAGTTTGTAATATTTTTAAAACTTATGACAAGATAATATTTTGGGTGTGTGGCATCTTGATGGATGCTTATTTTGTTTTTGCTAATTTTTAATTTGACATAAAATTGTACAGATTACGACACCTATAATGGAAAATGGATCCTGAAATAAAATACCCAATTATAATAAAATGTTGGCATCATATGGGAATTGAGTGTGATGAACAAAATTTTGTTTTCATTCTTTTCAAGTTTAGACTTGAATGTAAATATTAATCAGATAACTTTACTACTACTGTTTTATTCATTACAAACCTATATATCAAATATTTATGATTTATTACTACATTCATTGTTTATTTATTTGTCACACTCTCCACATTCCTTTATCTCAGCAGCACATAATTGGATAGAAGAATAAATTATTACACTGATTGGGGAATTTTCAATTTCTTTTTTAAAATGATTCATATCATTAACATAGATCAAAGCTGGATTTGCTAAAATAGTGCCAGTGGTGAACTTTTTGTTTTAATCAGGAAAAAAATCTGGTTCATCAAAAAGTGTTAAAATACCAATATATCTTCAACTCAACAAGATGTGAGTTGTGCATTTTTTAGCACTAAGTTCTTCATATTATGCTAATGTAACTCACAATACATTGGTATATTCTATCATTATGATCATTGAAGTTTGGATTTGGTTTTCAGTAGCCTAACTTTGAGAAAAATGTCAGTAAGTTTTTATTTTCTTTTTTTTTTTTTGTGTGTGTTTGGCTCAAGTTTATTTTTAAAACATTTAGAAGCCTATATTTTAAGGTGACCTTTTGAAAATCTAGCTTAGAACAAAACAATAATTAAGAAATTTGTTTTTTAACCCTAATAAGTCGTGTTATATCCTCTTTTTTTTTTTTCATAATGAAACTTTTCTCGAAGAAGAGTTCAAGTTTTTAATTTCCCAATGGCTCACTACTGTAACATTCCATGGCAGTTGTTTGAATACAAATAACTTTTGCTGTAATATTTACAGTTATGAAAACTGATTCAACATAAAATAATTTATTTTTCCATGTTTTTCTGTGATATACTTTACACTTATAAATAATGACGCGTACATATTTATAAAAAGTATGTTTGAAGGTTCTTCACAGTGTGTAGAATGCTTGTTTGATGAGTGTTTTGTTAATTACATTTCTTGGTTTATATTGAAACATCTTGACCTCTTAAATGACAATGTAGTACATTTCTAGTTATTTTATTATTGTCTTGACATCTCTAGTACTCAGGACATAGCAAATAATGGATTGCATTAATACATAACATGATAGGTTGATTTCTCAGTAGAGATAATGTGTATTGTAATTGTAGAACTTGTTTGACTATTTCTAACTTACATGCTAATTGTAAATATTTTGCCTTTTATGTTAATTTTGCCTATTTGTGTGTACCAGTGTAATAGTTACCTCTGTTTTAACATAATCATTAATCAATATGTTGGAGAAAAGCTGAGGACTAAATGGGGGTCAGCACCTGTGCCTTTTGTTTAAATTTTCAATAATTTGTGATATGTGGACAATTCTTGTACACTGCAGGCGTATCCTGCATTATAATTTACTGAAAAATTCATTCATAGACATTTTATTTTTAAAAATGTTAAATAAGCAATAGAGTATTTTAGAATGTTATCTTAAAATATACAGATGTTACTTGTCAAGAGATTATTAGTCCTATAAATGTGTTAAACTGATTAGGGGGAGGGGTTGAAGTCAATGTGATAAATCTGTTCTTTCATGTTTAGAGATTGAAATATTACAGGTATTATGTCATTGGTTTTCCTTTCTAATTTAGCTTAACCCCCTTTTTTTTTGTTGAAATTGAACATGGAAAGTTTTTTGCCATTTTGCTTATTTATCTTTTTTTTTTTAGTTAATATTAATATATTCAAACTTGATTTATGTATACATAAAAAAAAAAAAAAATTAACTTCAACTTAGATTCTTTATTAATTACCAGTACCTAAATATGAGTTCAGAAGCAAAGATTTATCCTCAAATAAGGTTACTCTTTTAGTAATTGGAAATTGTTTTGAAATGTTTTCACATGCTCCTATGAGATTTCCATTTCTGTAACCCATGTAATTGTTTTTATTCTCCTATGTGTAGTGTGATTGTGTGGACATGTTGAAGGCTTTCTTATTCCATTAGCTAGTAACAACATATACTTTTTTTGGTTGTTGTTTTTTTGTTTTTGTGTAATTTTAATGATAATAAATTGAGATATAAATTGTGTGTTGCGAGAAAAATTTCTGATTGCACTACAAGACCTTCATTTTGTCTGCCATAACTAAATCACCTGTAAAGTGACTTCACTAGCAATAAATGTCATAAAACAGTCCATCCATATTAGTAATAGTTGTACTACAATTATCTGTACTATTAATGTAGAGCAGCATTTTATTATTCTGGAGACCATGAATTATTGAAATAATGATGTTAACCATTTGATGAAGTTGGTGGCGTCATACAATTAAATATAGAATCATTATTTAGAGAAAAGCATTTTGAAGATGTTCCAGAGTGAAATGATCTTCCACTCTCTGATTGTTTATGTCCATTCTTAACCTTACCATCTAGTTTTCAATGACAGCTCATAACTATTCAAATGTCTACAATAATTTTATTTTATTGAAAAGCATTATGGGGTGACAGTGATGACAATTATGAAGATACTTAAAGGGAGGAAACTCCAAAGATCAATTTGTACAATGATGAAATGTAGATAGTGTATTGATCTTACGCACTTGCAAAGCAAGCTTTTTGGGGGGGGGAGGGGGAATAATTTATTTGGGTTTCAATCAATCGATAATGTGAGAAGACCTTTTATGACTAATTTTTTTTTGTTGACATTATTTACTTTGTCATAATTATACATATATAAGATAAGCGGGTGTTTGAATTCAGGTAAAAATTCTTTGCTGTTCTAAAATCTTTAGATTTGAAATAAAGTCTTGTATTTTATAATATAATGATATGATTGTGAGATTTATCAAAACTGTTTACTTATGACAGTGTAATGAAGTTATTTATAATGAGTCTTATCTGTCCTTTGACTTTTGTTGTAAGGGTGCTGTGACAGTTCATGTAACCAAATCCCTCCATTTTTCCAGATCAGCAGCTGTTCTTAGGATGAGAGGCCTGTCCATTCTTTTGCATTGTCCAGCCATTTTTTCTTTGGATGACCATTTCTTCATGCTCCTCCACTGTACACTGAATGATGAGAGCGAGTTACAATATGACCAACCCAGCTCAATCTTACATCTCTTCACATTGAGGAGTCTCCTCTTTTTGCCAATTAAAGTGTTAACTTGTAAAAGTACAAGCCCATTTGTCTTCTTTTCTGGGTATCTGATAACATTTTTCTAGATCTAGAGATTGGACACTTGCCTTAATAACACTTGGGATTATTAGATAGCACATTTATTTGTTTTAAACAACATAAAATCAGATTTTTTTTTTTACAAATTTTTATTAAAAGTCAAATAATAAGCCAGACTGGTGGATCTCCAATGGCATGATAGAAAATAAAAATTTTGTAATGTACAATGCTTTATTCTTATTACTTTGTATTAAATAGTTATTTAGCAATTGAACTACTTACAAAATGGTAGTGTTAGTACTAAGTGACTACTTTCTATTTTCTCATGGTAACCTTATGATCTACATTACCTACAATATGGTAGTATTAGGGGTCACCATTTTCTACTGTTGCATATATACCTAACAAATGTAGTCTTTCTCTTGGACCAGTGAAGTGAATTTATTGAGCTAAGTTCTCTTCAACACAAGTTAATAATTACTAGCCTGCATAGATTTAATCACCACACCACTGACTGGAATAATAAAAAATATGAATCTGTGCAAATTAATAGAACCGCTATTACTGCACTGGCCTAGAAAAGAACAACATAGATTGAAATACGGGTACTTAAATAATAAACTCAATGCTATCATGTCACAACTATAGTCTCTCCTTGCAGTATTAGATGAAAACAATAGCACAGATATTCAAGTAGATAGTGGACAGTACCACATTCAATAAATAAAATGAAGTTGGGAGTGGTATGTGAAAACTAGTGCATTTATAGAGTTTTCTACTTGAAATATTTGTGATAAAATTGAACAGGTCCAGATATAAAAAAGTTGAACTAATCAACCTACTGTAATGGGACTCAAAAGTGCCACCTTATGTCTTATGAGATAATTGAGTACTATATTCTTTGTCCAATGCTAATAAGGAAGACAGGAAGTCTCCAGGCTAACAACATCACCGACTGAATTTGGCTCATCTACGTGGCGTTGACGATGTGTGTACAAATTTATAAATAGCAAAGCTCAATGCAGCTGCGACAGCTAACCCAATGCCAACTTGAAGATATGTGTTGGGACTTGATTGAAAGAGTCCTTTGATGTGTCTGTAACAGATGCAAACAACACAATATCAACAAAACTTTAAAATTCATATTAGCTCTTTAAATTAGCTTCGACCCTTAATAACGAGCATTGACTATTGAATTTCAAAACTATCAGTTTTTGTAATATAACTTCTTTTTATGCAAATTAGTATTAGATCTAATATTACAAGTAAATAGGTAAGTATGGGGTTAGATTTAGATATTTGTTTTTAATGGTTGGATGAAATTAATTATTTACAATGTAACCAAATTAATCGCTCAGATAATTCAATTTTAACTAAAAGATAAGCCAGACACATGACCGTAGTTTAAAATGGCGAAATAGGACATAGAAACACCAGTTCATGCTATACAGTCTGCTGTGAGTTTTTACTTCTAATGCTTAAAACTTTTATATCTATTGCTAATCATTTATATTATATCTAGCTTTAGTTTAAATTGTCGTTGCAGATAAAGAATAAAAGCCATAAGATATACAATGGCTTTAAATTGATTAAATAAGTAAACTTAGGTTTCCAAATGATGATTGTTCCAATAACTATGCTTTGGATTAAATGTAATCAAGGATTCTTTGGTTTTAAATTAAGTAACTAGACCTAATGTCCCTAATGATGCAACACCTATACTTTGGATTTAAACTAAAGGACTTTACCTAATGATGCAATACTTCAGAAATGATAACAAGCTTAGATTTATAAACAATAAGAAAAATGAACAAGCTAACAAAATCAAAACATGCAGTTACTGGTAAAACAAAATATAGTGATATAAAAACAACTGCTGACAACTTTGTAAAATTTTCCAATAATTCTCACAGAAAAGGTATTCATAAAGCTATATGTGCCAAATATGACAAAATGAACACAAAAACTGTACCAAATGAAATCTATGAGGTCCTACTATAAATAAAACAATCTCTGGGAATGTGAGCTATTTATAACTGGTACAGTGTACTACACCAAAACTAAATTAACATTCAATAAATGAGCTACACACCATTTAAAAAGATGACAAATCATTCAACTTTCAACCAAAAATAAATCTGATTTTGGTATTTGCATAAAATCAAGGAAAAAAAAAAAGACAAAACAAAGGGTATCTAGTTAAAAGTTTTTGTTAATACAACGTCAAGCAAGAGTGCAAAGACACAGAGAGGTTGGTTTCAAAGTAAAATAAGAAAAGAACCTTAGTCTTTCTTCCAACCACAGAGGGCGTTGGTGAACCAGCAGCATATGGACCAGGCGCTTCAGGTTACTGAAATAGACAGATCACTCTTACTAGACATTACATTCTTCACTGATAAGAGCTCTTCAGTAGAAAAGGAAATGTTACCATTAACTTCCTGGTATGGCATCATGTAGGCTGCCAGTAAGCAGTTCAGAGATAGCACACATTCAAGCCATAAAAAAAAACATAATTTACATTATTTCACAATCTAGATGAAGAAATTTCATTGCCTTGATGATAGAATTAAATCGATAAAGCTGTTGATAAAATTGTTTCATTGTACTATGTTAATAAATCTAATAATTAGTAATGCAATAAGTTGGTAATTAGTAAGGCCAGGAATTGTGAGCTTTGAACAAGAAAATGTGTTGAAACTCTAAATCTATTATAACATAAAATAAAATTGTGCGTAAAAAAAAAAAAGTGTTGATTTAATAGAAATTTGAGTTGTTCAAAGTAAAGGTCTAACTAAAAAAAAGTAAGGAGGGAGGGTTATACTGATTTTGGAAAAAGAAGAAATGCGATTGCATATGAATTTTATAAATAAAAGATCTGTAATAAATCATACCAAAATTTTATCGGCATAGACTAAAGTCTCTCCATTCATCCCATATGAAGACATTGAAGTGGATACTAGTAGTGTACTTAACTAGCAATGAATGTTCTACAGAACTCAAGGAAAAGGAAAACAATTTCAGTGAAAGAAAAGAACAACTTACGGGTATGCAGCCATTGTTGCCAACTTGATGTAAACATCATGATTCACTTTATCAATGCATGTAAATCTTTGGGGTGGAGGAAGTTTAAACCTGCTACAAAACTGGGCAGGGGTCAATTCATAGTCTTGTCGAACTTCTGGGTATTCGGCTTTTGATGCAACGATAAGTGTTGGTATTTTACAGTCGATAAAATGTTTCTGAAGAGTAACAAGATCAGTCAAGGCATTTGACAAATTAACAAAACACATCAGGGATTTATTTTCCATTAAAATTTCTCCATTTTAATTTGTTTTTACTGTACATGTGCCCAACCATTGCCACTTGAAGAGCAGCATCAGTCCTGATTTGGGGTGAGTCATGTTTTTAATATTTGTATATATCATTTGTTTTTCCAGGGTCTACACCTTTAAAATGAAACCTGACAATATTAAGTGGTGATGAAGTTGGTTGAATATATGATTAGGGTGATTTGGGGAAATGAAACCCTAGAAGAAACATTTACTGGTGCCAAAATAATAAAAACTTTAAAATTTTACATCATCTGCCCCATAAAGGTATGTTATAGTCAGTGTACTCACCAAATACATTCTGGCACAGAACTCAAAACTCTGTGGGTTGGTAACATCATAGACTAGACAAGCCACATCACAGTCTAGTTCAGTGGGAGTAAGCATCTCACACATGACCATGTCTACTTCATGGAGCTGAAATAAAAGAAACTCAAGATGTACTTAGACATTCTTAGTTACGCTCCGTTCAAAGCAGCCTTATTACAAAACCACTTCTACGAGACCTAAATATGAAGTATTTGTCATTTGTCTCAATAACCCTTTTAGCAACTAAAAAATGACAAGCTTGAAAAACATGTTTTTATCAAAACTGATCAGCACTTTCTCCTTCAAGAGGCAAGAGATCCCACAATATCTTTGCCACTTCTGTCTTTCACACATTGGTTTCCATACTTAACTTTTTCTTATTTGTCAATAAAAATTCCTTTGCATTGTAAAATTTAAAAAATATTCGGTTTCTTTTATGAATGAAAACATTCTTTCAAAAAAAGAATACAATTACATCATATGCATATCCATATGCTAATCTAGTCATGCAAGGGATGAGTAAATTGTTCTAACATATGGAATAAGAAATGTGTATTTATTTTGTATTTTTCTTTACCTCACTAGGTTGTGTTTTTTGTAAGCTACGGTTCAGTGTTTTATGCATTATTGCTAATTTACTTTTTAGTCTTCTGTCATGGAGTGGCTCTTATTTATTGATTTCACTAATGATGTTGCTCTAGTCTAATGTGACTATCAATATGATACAGAACTATTTAATAAATGAGAACATGCTATCAATGTACTATTGATTCATTCCAGCTGTTAAGTATCTGAATGTAGTGAGTTAGGTTAGGTTTCAAAATGAAATTGCTTACCATCAGATATTTATCTTGGCCATAAACCTGAACAGTGTTGATAGTAAAATTGGATAAATTCTGTCTATTCAATGTAGCCACGTAGCGCAAATTTCTTTGCAGTAATCCTTGGAGAAAAGCAGTCTGGAAAAACATACATTAAATACAAGTACTTAGAACAGATCTTTATATGAAAAAAAAAAAACAAGCTAGATTATTTTTGGTCTTGCTCAATTAAAACGGTAAATGAATCATCAACACTGTCTAGGCCCTATCACAATGGTCTATTGCACATCAATATTATCTTGGCCCTGTCACAATGGTCTATTGCAAATCAATATTATCTTGGCCCTGTCACAA